ACATTAGCTCAAACCTGAAATAGAACTAAGTTAGAACTAACATAAAATAAGTTAGAACTAATATTAAATAACTTAGAACTAACATTAAATAACTTAGAACTAACATGAGTTGTTGCTCATGATAGTGTTCAAAAAAGGGCGAGAAATTTTCCTCTATTTTTTTCCATCAGATCGCATTAATGGGCGTGACTTTCCATGTATTTTGTGGACCAGACTGTTAGACCCTAATGCCACTAGGAAAGAACCCTAGGGGGTGAATAGGGTTTATGCTAATCTAATCCGATTTAAATGATAATAAAAACTAATTAACAAATATATCCTAGCAAGTATGATATGCTACAAGATATGTGCAAGGATATACAATATAAATAAGGGTAAACAATATGATCATGCAACAATAGCGATATAACAATATGCAACAATAAATGCGCCAATGCCAAACCCAAACACAAGGAAATGATCACGGAGTTCGGACCTTCCGTCCTACATCTCCACTCCCCACTCCTGGGGAGAATCCACTACACAACCCGGTTTGGAAGCCGGGACTTCTCTACACACTCGGTTTTCTAGCTAACCGAAAACTCTACACACTCAGTTATCAAGTCAACCGAAAACTCTCACAAAATCTCACAATGTACATACACAAGCTACAACCTCAAGTGTTGGTCCTCACGTATCGACTCCCTCAAGTGCTCGGAATTATCACCTCTCACTAGACCACTGACGTCACTCCTCTCGGATCGACTCCGTCCTCACCACACACTCCTCTTGGTGTACAAGTGTATTACAAGTGATCTCACGATAAGCACACAAATATAAATTTATTCTCTACAATAGATGAGAACACAATGTAGGCTTACACTCAATGTTACACAAACCCCACAACCCAAATTATACAATGTATACAAATACAATAAGCTCAATGGTTGTGTGTGTAAACAAAGAGTAAACAAAATCAACTAAACTCAATATAAACACTAGCTTAATAAAATGGTAATTAAATAATATAAATGTAAAACTAGATTGAGTTTAGGGAAACTTCTCTATAGATAACAAGAGAGAGGGAGAAGAGTGAATGCTCAAACACCAAGGATGATCTCCACTTGCTCTTGTGAAATTCTCTTCACAAACAAAACTCTTAAACGCTTAAAAGCTTTTTTTAAACAAACACTAAACAAAACTTAAACCCTTGTTAAAACTTTGTTAAAATATTCTCTTGGATGGAAGAAGAGCTGAAGGCAATGGGGTATTTATACCCACTCAAAACTTCAGCAAAAACCCCAAGGAAAAGACCAAAAACCCATAAACAAACAAATCAGAAAACTAGCCGTTACTATGCAACGGCTCTCTGATAAGTCGACTTATGAGTCGACTAATGAGTCGACTAATGAGTTGACTAATGAGTCGACTTATATGAGTCGACTCAGCAGAAGAAAAATTATAACTGCGCTGTACTTCGTGAGTCGACTCATGAGTCGACTAATGAGTTGATTGAACATGCACAGACCTGAAGTGCACAGAAAAACTCAACTTTAAACTGGGTTTAAAAATATCAAATAAATTACAAAAATTATGAAACTTTGGGAGATGATTCTAGACATGATAATAAACATGCTACAAAAACTAGTTTTCAAAAAAGACCTCCCAAATGAGAAATATCATCATTTTGCAAAATAGTTCAAAACATAAAAATGTGAACACATGAGATTTGACATTTTAGCTTAACCATGTTTTGAAACATTACAAAATGATTTTGTAGACTTAATAAAAGATGTATATGATTATTGTTAAGTCTATAAACCAAGAAAATAATATTTTCACAAAAATACTTGTTTTGCAAACTTTCAAAACAATAAACATGATTTCAATGAACTAAATAAAATTTATATTGATGTAATCATATGTAAGCATAAAAACATGAAACAAAAATGTATTTTCCAATTATATTCAAATGTTTCATATTTAAACTTGAAAAACCAAAACAATAAATATGAAAGATGTAATTTCATATTTATGTAAACTTGGAAACAAAAACATGTATGTATACATATACATATATATACCCAAACTAGAATGTGTATATATATATAACTATATATAACTATATATAACTATATATATATATATATATATCATATTTATGTAAACTTGGAAACAAAAACATGTATGTATACATATACATATATATACCCAAACTAGAATGTGTATATATATATAAATATATATATATATACAAGGAAATCAATATAATGTGTGTGTATATATGATTGAGCTTAAAGTACTAACACACATAATTATAAACCTAAACTAATGTTACCCAAGCTTGATCTTGATCTTCATTGTAGTTTAACTTGGTACACATTGCGGATGAAGCTAGAACTTGGATATTCAACTTGAATTGCATAGGCTTCACCCACTATTCCGCCAACCTCCATTTGATATGATCGATATGGTGTAATCCATCTATCCTCCAACTTATTGTTTGTCTACAATAAATAACAAAACATAAACACTAGACAAACAATATTAGATATAAATTGTTTGTTTATTGTTTGTCTACAATAAATAACAAAACATAAACACTAGACAAACAATATTAGATATAAATTGTTTGTTAAATCATCATCAAAACAAGAAGGCCAACAATAAACACTAGACAAACAATATTAGATATAAATTGTTTGTTAAATCATCATCAAAACAAGAAGGCCAACAACAGACGTCTGGGGAAGATAAGTGGAGGGGTAATTTCGGGGTTTTTTTTCAAAACACAATCTCTTTTTTTATACTGCTGACGTGGATAGGCCTTGAAATATTAAATGGTACTTTTTGGGGCTGAATCACATTGGCCAAAATACAAGGGGGCGGGTCACATGAACTTTCTCATTTTGGGGCCTGGACACATTTTTCCCAAAATAAAAATACAAATAAAAACATGAATAATGTTTCATTTACGTTGTAATTTAAGTCCTACGTAGTAACACTCCCACTGTTAAATGTTTAGGGTTTTCAGACACTAGTCCATTATATCTGCCAAAATTACATTATAGTCCCTCAAATCTTGATAATTGTATATGAGTACTTCAAATCATACGTAGTCTTGCAAATTCGTCACCTGTTTCACTGATGTTAAACTTTAGGGGAATAGTCATGCGCTTGGAGGCAAAAAGACATTTATACCCTTTTGTTAAGTTCATAAACCCATTCTTTAATAGTTTTAAAACATGTACATGCTCCTAAAAAACCAAATCCACTTAGATTATTCTCTAAATTATATATAAGCTCCTCATACTTGAGAGAAATATATAAGGAGGGGTAGTTTGACAACTGCAGCTAACACTGTTTTAGAAAACCTCCGCCTAGTCCGCTTAGGCGTACGTCTAGGCCTAGACGATACCTAGGTGGCCTAACTAGCGCCTAGCGCCTAGGCGGTATTTAGACTATCTACCTAGATTTTACGAGCGTTTAGGGGAGCATTGTCTGTTTACGTGGATTGCACTTTGTAGGTCTTGGTTGTGATTTTATGTGTTGTAGCCTACACGTCCTACAAACTCCATTAACCTCCAAATATGAATACCTTCACTTAAATGAAGAAAGAAATCCGTCTAGACACGAGTCCGACATTTAAGCTTTTTATAACATTGACATTCACTATCAATTATTGTAATTAAAAATAAAAAAGAAAACATCTTAGGCTCTAGCCTTGTTAATTATTAATTTGGCTATTTAGTATCTGAGTATGCATGATTTATTATGGAACTAAGATTGCTATCTTTTTTTAAAAATTTATATGAATTTGATACATATTTTTATCAATTATTATAATTAAATAATTTAAAAATAGTCAAACGCTTAGGCGCTGCCTAGGCGTACGCCCAAGGGTCTAGACGCTAGGCGCTCACTCAAACGCCTAGTCTGCCTAGCGCCTTCTGTAACATTGTCGAGCTCCCCTGCTCTCTGTAACTACAAATAAGGTAAAGAGTACTTCTTAAATATCTATTTAAGTTAGTTAACAACAGTAACTTAAACTTAAGAAGTGTAGGTTAACAGTAAACTTAAATTTAAGTTTAAGTTTAAGTTAAACTTAAGTTTAAGCTAACAATAAACTTAAGTTTAAGTTTAAGTTTAAGTTAGTATTAAGTTTTTTGTTGATGAAAAACTTAAGTTTAGCTAAACAGTAAACTTAAGTTAACAATATTTTAGTTAACCGTAAACTTAAGTTTAAGTTTATTGTTAACTTAAACTTAACAGTAACTTATAAGTTAATAGTAATTTGAGTTGAGAATGAGTTTTTCACTATTGAGATGAACTTATAATTTGAGTTGAGAAGTATAAACATACAAAGAGCTATTGTAATTGCCTAATTGGTAAACCAAGCAATTTAGTTAATAGTGTTGGTATATTAGTATTTATGCATCTTTGATTGAGTATATATATATTTATCTTCAAATATCACAATTAAAAAAAAAACGTTTAGAAACTGCTTAGGCGCCAGCCTAGACGACTAAACGCTGGGTGCCAAGTCCGACGCCTAGAAGGGCCCAGCGTTTAATGTAACATTGGCAGCTAATAGGATTAGCTTAGAGCTTGACCCAAATATGGTTGTGTTTTTTGACTAAGGGCGTGTTTGAATTTCAATGAGGTTAAGAAAAGTTAAGGAAAATTAGATGAGAAAAGAGAAGGGATGGAAGGGAGCTCCCTTCCCCTTGGCTACACCCCAATTTGGGGGTAACAAATTTTATACTATTAAGGGGTGAACAAAGGGGAACTAGGGAGAATAACTTCACCTCCTATAAGTGTTCTCAAATAAGATGAATGGTTCCCCTAACTTCTATTTACCCCTATTCCCCTCGATCCAAACAAGCCCTAACAGAGGGACAAACATGCAAGGCGCTATATGATTTGAGAGACACAATTACCAATATTTGAGAGACTAATAGGCAATTTCGGCAGACTTAACTTTCAAGAGGCCCATACTAAAAAAAAACCCTGATATTTATTTTCATTTACGTTTCCACTGACGCTGGTCTCCTCGGCGAGCGAAGCCTAATAAATAAAAGGACAAAGAGTCCTCTTTGTGCCTCTGCGCCTCCAGAGAATTTTCACGAGCTAATGGCGCTGCCCTATTTGGAAGCGGTTTTAGGTAAAACGTTTTAGTTTCCCCCTTTTCTCTTCGATTCTTTAACTTAATACCCGCGATGATTTGATCTCTATATGAAGGGGAAAATCTATTTTGCCCAAAACGAGGCGATTTTTTTTTTCATATTAGGTTTTACTTTCATTTCTTTGGGTGTAAATGTTGAGCGGAGATCATCAGATTAGGGTTTCTTAGGTTTCAGCTACTCGTTTTAGTATTCGATGTTGATTCATAGAAAATCTAGTTAAATGGCGATTTTACTTTCTCCCTGAACTATCTTCGGGGGAAGTTTGTTTTACTCTTTCATGAATAGTAAGTGGTGAAATAAAACTTGACCTGATATTCTGGCAAGGGATCTGCCTTGTGATTCCATTGTTAACAACTCACCACCAAAAAGGAGAAAACAATCATTAGGGTTTAGGAGGGTTTCAACTCTTCATGTCCTTGTAAGTTTCAAGTTCTGCGTCTTCTGACTTTACATTTTCATGCACCTCGAGGTTGATCGTCTGGCTTTTACCACATATAAAAGATGATCGATTATCTAAACAAGCATCTAAGTTCTTAGTGATAAAATGAAGTGTCTAAAAGTCTGGGTTAATTGGGATCAAACCTCTGTAGTATAAGCCAATTGTAAGGGGACCCCAAACACCCTAAGTTAACTTTTTCGACTCTTTTAAAGTAAAAAGATAGCAATTGAGTGTCTATTCTCACCGATATAACTATAAAGGGTCTATCTGCCTCAAATATTTTTAACAGTTTTAAGAGGAAAAAAATTCACCCAGGGGTCTATTCGCACAAGTAGAACTATAGGGGTCCTATTCGTAGCAAATAGAACTACATGAGGCCTCCTTGCAATTGGTTGATACTACAAGAGTTTGTTCGCAATTAACCCTAAAAGATTTAATGTAAAAATCTTTCATTAGACAACTGATAAGGCTTCAATGTTTTAAAAAGACTCCGCCTAACCTGCGTAAGACTAAGTGTAGATCTAGCCTAGGTGGTACCTAGGCTGTCTGCCTAGCGTCCAGGTGGAACCTAGGCTACCTACGTCATTGGGAGCACCTTGGGGAGCGTGGTTTGCTTACGTAGGTTGCACTCTTTAGCCATTGATTGTGATTTTCTCCGTTGCAGCCTCCACATCCTCTAACCTCCAAACTTCAGCCTCCTACTATGAGCACCTCCTCTACCTCCTCAGACCTTTAGCAAAACCTTCACCGCCACCATGAAGAAAGAAATCCGCCTAGGTGCTAGTCTAACGCCTAATGTTTCTGTATCATTGGCATTTACTATTGATTAGTATGATTAAAAAATAAAAATAGAAAAACTGCTTAGGCCTTGCGTACGATCTAGGCGTTGGGTCCAACGCCATGCCGCCTAGCACTTTCAGTAACCTTGCAAGGCTTCTACTTCTCTTTATATTGATGAAAGTTGTGGATTTTTTATTATTTAACATGATCTATTGAGCATGTAATTTGCACTGTTTAAGAATATGTGCAACATTCAAAGCTTTTATACCTGAACATGTGTGTTAGTATTTTGACATTTCAAGTAACAATATATGATGTATCCTGTGAAAGAATAGATGCGAAAACATCTATTAGTGTCGTAATAAATTTGTAACCTGGCTTAGTGCTTGAAACATTCATCACGTTTGTTTGTCCTTTGTTTAGATATGCCTAACATAAAGAAATATGATATGTGGGCCTACAGGTGTAGCAACATTGTCCATGAAGAAATATCTCTGCCAAGATTGGAGAATTTTCAATTTTTATTGGCATGCATACGAGTGTATATTTAGTTAACGTAATTGGGATGATGGCCCATAATTCATAATAGAACTTAATGGCAGAATATTATTCATGTAGTTGACCCCCCTAAAAATTTGAAATAAGTATTTTGTTGTTTTATCTGTGCGTTTGTTGTTGGTGTTTTTCTTTTGTGTTGTAGGGCAAGATAAAGGTGGGCAGGTGTCAGGTTATATACTATTTGGATCTAGGGAATGTAAGAAAAGAGGATGATAGTCTTCTTGTAGTTTATACACTCGAGCTTTCTTGCTCTCTCAAATTTGTTTCTTGTCCATTTCCTTTTTTTTCAACCTAGAAGTGACACTGGAGCATAGATGTTTGATCGAGGATTTTACTCATCAGTTAATGTATGTATTACCTATTGTGAAATGCATTCAGTTTGGGCTTCTTTGTTGACTGAGTTTAATTTTCATTATGATGAAAGGTGAGTTAGTCTACCCAACTAACTGGTCTTATTGGATTCTGGAAAGACCGTCTCTTGCTCATTGTTCAGGAACTTAAAATACAACCGACTTAGGCTTTCATAAATGTCGGTCAAATCATGTTGTATTGCCAATCTCATTTAATGCAAAGAGCTTGGATGACAGTGGTGAGTTCATGTTACATATGCTATCTGTTAAAGCCAATCTAGATTTTTTTTTTCAATATTGTAGTTGGCCAACTTCATGAGTAAGGTGCTAAGCTTGAGAGAAAAAAAATTGGAGGGTAAACTTCTTCCCCCATAGATTAAAGGTTGTCCCCTCCAAGTGTAGCACTGATAGAAGAGTGTCCATTGTTTAGGTGTGACTGCCTTGTGCTTCATATTCTTCTTTGTTTTTTCATCTTTTATTTTGTTTTATTTTTTATGAAACTGAAGTTTGTATAAAAAACTCAGTTTGAAGTAAATTAGAGCACATCATCACAGTGCTGTTGCTCTGAAAAAGTCATAACACTTAATAGACTTGAATCTTTCAAATTAGTTTCCTCGTAGCTGATGCTCCATCTATACATTTTAAGTATACCTATTAACTTGTTGTTCAATTCACATGGAATTTTTCTTTCAAAAGAAAAAAGAAAGGATAGTCTGGCGTTTGCTTGAAAACCTAAATTTGCATAGATAAATCTTCTTCTTTTAAGTTTGTGCAATGAGCCAACAGGTGGAGACCTTAATATGTCAACCTTTATTTTCTTTAGAGGAGCTTTGAATTTGTACAAGTTCTAATCATTGAATGAACAACTTGAGAAAACCTTGAATCTGCCTAGGCAGACCTTGAACTTTGCGAGCCTAGTCTCTAAAGAAGAGATGATCCCAAAAATTTTAAGGTGACTGATAAGTCATTTTAGAAAAGTACTTTCCCTTATTACGGAGTATAGGATTAGAATAAAGTGATTGTTTGAGTTAAAACTTCAAGATGTAAATCTAAAGATGAATGTTTATAGAATATTGGATCCATTATCGAAGCTTTATTGAGCTGCATAAGTAAGCTTGATCCTGAATACAGCCATCCTCAGATTTGCCAAGCTTCAATTATTTAAATGAGCTAAAATTTATCCCAGCTTGTCCGTTTAGCTTATTAGATGAGTTTGGGTAAGCTATTTTTGAGCTGATCCTGAGTTGAGGCTCAAACTTCCAAGCTCTTTTACATCTCTGATGATTGGAAATTAATTAAATCACATGAAACTTTTGGTATCAATGGTAAAAAAGCTTTTCTTGATTATTATCCTGATCAATAATCACTTTCTCTTGCAGGTTTTATGATCTTAATGTACATTTTTGAAACCTATCTGGACATCCGACAACATGCAGCTCTCAAGCTGCCCAGCCTTCCTAAATCATTAGAAGGAGTGGTCAGCCAAGAAAAATTTGAAAGATCTAGATCTTATAGCCTTGATAAAAGGTTTGCTATCTTTCCCAGCTTTCTATTTACTTCAGTTAATATTAGCTATGCATAAGTTCTCTTGGTATTATGTGCTATATGTTTTTAATCCTGTAACTGTTCATAACTATTGCTCTTCTTCTGGCCTATTAAATACCGTCTATACTTGAAGACTAATTTGTTACTTAATTCCAGTCACTTCCACTTTGTTCATGAAGCTGTAACAATTCTGATGGACACTACAATTTTGTTTTTTGGCATATTACCTTGGTTCTGGAAGGTAACAATTTGCACCTTGCATAATTTGGACTACAATTTTGTTTTTTGGCATATTACCTTGGTTCTGGAAGGTAACAATTTGCACCTTGCATAATTTGGTGCTTTTCTTTGGCATATTACCTTGGTTCTGGAAGGTAACAATTTGCACCTTGCATAATTTGGTGCTTTTCCATCAACCTTATCCTGGAACTTATTTTGTGATTGCAGAAATCTGGAGAGTTGGCAGTGTACATGGGCTTGAATGCAGACAATGAAATAATTCACACCCTTTCGTTCTTAGCAGGAGTCATGATTTGGTCGCAGGTATGGATGTTAATCATTCTACTAAACTTATTGGTTCAAGCAGACAGCTAGAGTCATATTATATCATGGTTTTACCCTTACCTGAGCGGTTTGCCCCTCTGGTGTTATTTCTCACTTTTTCTGCCAGTCCCCACCACATAGGCAAAGTTACATGGATTGATAGAAGTAAACATGAAAATGCAGTTCTAGATTCTCTTTCAATACTAATAGTTAAAATATTTTGTCTAATTTTGAAATCTCTTGAGGTAAAAGCATCATCTCCTATACCATCAATGTCCATTGTTTTGAATGGAATTCTTTGTTGTGCTATTGCATTCTTTGCTATATTTAATTCCATTCTATGCTCTTGGGCTTAATTTATATTCTGGTACATATCCATCCTATTCTTGAATTTTCTAGATACTCATTAGGAAGTATTTCTAGCTGGATGTGTTGAATGGATACGTCAGCAGCACCTAATGATTTGACTTAACAGCTGAGTGGAAGTGCATGTGATTTGTTTATATACAGTGATGTCAAATGAAGCTTTTGAATTTCTGGTGGAGATTCATAGAAAGAAATAAGATATTATTTATGTTAGTTGTAAGAAAGAACATTATGAAAGTTCTATGATGAAGATCATCTCTAAAGTTAGTAAGTGGAGATTAATCAAGTGGAGATTGATTAATTGGTACATGAATGGGTGGTTGTTAAAATGACTTTATGTTTTAGTTCGTAGATCAATTTAGGTTTATTTTGAAAATCTTTTGTCGTGAACTGTGCTAGAGCTTAGCTTGTTCTCATACTTGCGAGGTGGAATCGTCTAGGAGTCCATGCACTTCGTCAATTGATTTAATGCATGTGATAAACCTGCTGATGGAAATAACTTGCTTGACCAGATGAAAAAGTTTTGAGGTACCCTGAGGTTGTGGTATCTTTCATAGACATTGTTTGTCCTATTCCTTTCCCTCCTTTCATGCTGGTATTTGGCAACAATCCTTGCTCTTCTTCCTCTCCTCCCTTTCTCATCAAGAAGTTTTTGTTTCTTTTAGATTATCTTAGGATAAGTTTCATGGTAATTTCTTCTTCTATTAAACTATTGGCCGACTTCTTGTTATCAATTTTTTTCTCATGAACCACGATTATTGGATGACTTCTCTGTTTAATATGTGCTTTCTCATTTTCGAATTGGGTCCTAGTTGACTTCAACTGGCTAAGCGAACTCAAACTTACCATAGGCATTAAGTGACCCCACTGGGCCATGAATATCGGCTTTGTGACAGCGAACTAACTGAAAATTTGGTAAATTTAAAATTCTCTTGACTTCTCTGAGCAATCTACATAATAAAACTAAACAACTCATCTGAAATCGTTTTTCCAACTACTATAGCATGTTATTGCTAGCACTTAATTGATTTCATGAAACTGTTAAACCTACAAACTTGTGAATTATGATATTAGGGTTTTTGCTTTTAAATGCAACAATTTACTCTCATTTATCAAAAAAAACACCAAGTTCTATATGTTACAATAAACCCTATTATACAAAGTTTGATACCTTTAATCCCAAAATAAATAATACAAAGCTTATAGCTGAATACAATAGAATGTATATAGGGTGGTATAGTCAGATATTATAGAATAAATAGCCTCATACTGTTGGGTGTATAGCTACATACATTAGTGTATAGAGCTACATACTATATTGCATTGTTTTAAATATCTGTGATATCTTTGATATACCCTTGTATATCTTTTCATTAGGCTTGCTACAAAATGATATGGTCTTAGTATTATTTGCTGCTTTTTGGCAATTTTCGGGTGATATATACCCGATGTAGACGATATATCAGCCGATATGTTCGCCGATATAGCCTTTTATATGGCTTGTCGCAAAAGAATATATAGTTCTAGAATTTTTTTTAATGTTTTCCATCCAAAAATCTAGCTCTATGAAGTTTTTTAGCAAAATTCTAGTGGACTCTTTTCCCTAAAGGGGTGTTATTCGTTTGGGATTGTTTGATACAACCAAGTTTCCAACTTTCTTTGATTTGGGTTAGCACTAGAATTTTCTAATTAAAGCCGTGGATTCTTAGTATGATATTTGAAGTTTTAGGTTGGATTTCCAGACTAAAGTGTGGATTCTCGGGCTAAAGTTTAGATTCACGGACCATTTGAATTAGAATTGTGGTACTAATTTCTATATTTAAATATGTATTACATATATTAGAAAATTTTATATCATACATTTGACATCAAATATTTGAATGATTTGACATTGAATATTTTTTATTATTCAATATATTGAAAATATAAATATTATACATCTAACATTTATGTTTAATATATTTCATGTCTAGCATTTAAATGAATACCAATTGTTTAAATTGTTTCAACATATTTAATAATTTTCATATTAAATATATTTAATATTAACCTTATTTCATTTTTAATGGATTATATAAATTTAAAAAAGTTGATTAACATATTTAATTATATATATTCATGTTAATATATCACTAGTTTAGAAATATTGAATATTTTTAAAAAATATATTTAATATGAAAATTATTAAATATTTAAATAAGTGAAGAGGAGGAGAATTACGATCCCTGGAGTGGGAACACAATCCAAACAATTTTTAACTTGGGACTTTTTGTAGGAAATTTTTCATTCGAATATATAGAGTTGGACTGGAGTTTGGATTTTGAAATTCGTGAGCGAGTAACGATCCTAGACAACCTATAACACCTTGAATTCAAATTCAAATTTTAGTTCTAAACCAATAACACCTTAAATTCAAATCCGAATCCCAAGCCTAAACCAATAACACTGTAAATTTAAATTTAAATCCTTGTCCTAAATGAATGACACCCTAAATTGAAATCCAAGAAAATGTCTGAGTTGAAATCATTAATCCTCAACCAATAACCCCCTAAGTAAGTTTCTGCAAATATTATTTACATTTTTGTAATATTTGATTTCATCTAGTATGTTTAGATTACATTTTAGGACATTATGTTATGTGTGCACATTTTAGGACATTACGTTTTGTAATCAACATAGCGAAATGTATTGTTGAAGCTTCAGATTAATTTTTTATGAGCAATATAGCAATTTTTTAATCCATATTACTTTTTATCATGCAATCTTCCTTCTTTTATGAAGTCCTTTTGATTATTTCTGTTTTTTTTGTTAGAAATTGCAACTCAAAACAGTTTTTGAACTTCGGGCACATCATGATCTTTTATTGGATTATACAATAATGGTAATTTATGACTGACACATTGTTTACTGTCATGCAGATCACTGACTTGCCTTTTTCACTCTATTCAACATTTGTAATTGAGGCCCGCCATGGTTTTAACAAAGTTGGTTAACTTTCTATGGTCTTGTCATGCCTACTCTAGATTTGCTTAAATTTTCAATGCTTATTTTCCTGCCAGCAGAAGTGGTTTGGTCTTGTTTGAATTTTATAGTCGTGGTTTTGTTTCTCTTTTTACTGATTGGTCCCTGGACTTTCTAATTTCTTGCAGCAAACTGTATGGCTATTCTTCAGGGACATGATTAAGGGTATCTTCCTTTCAATCATAATTGGACCACCAATTGTGGCTGCAATCATTGTCATAGTGCAAGTATGATATCATTCAGCTTTTATTATTAGTTCACAATAGTGTTTAATCCACATAGCACGTTTCGTTGTACTCTATTGTGCTAAAGTTTACTAATTGCAGTGTCGTTGAAATTTGAATTTGCAATAACCCTATCTTGTATAAACTAAGTTCTTCTCTGTCTGCAGAAAGGAGGTCCTTACCTGGCGATCTACCTCTGGGGTTTTATGTTCGTGCTATCCATAGTGATGATGACACTATATCCCATTCTAATAGCTCCTCTTTTTAATAAGTTCACTCCTGTGAGTATTTGCTTTCTATGCAAAGGTTAATGAATAGTTAAAATTTAGTTTCCTGTATTATGTTAAAGCAGTTATACTTTCTTTTTGTTATTCATAATATAGCTAGTTTCAGACGTACTCGTTTTAGTTCTCTACCACGTTGTTTACTTGTTTCTTCAGTTAGATAATTTTTTTATTTCATATTTTGAAACAATTCCGAAAACAGCTTCCTGAAGGCAATCTTAGAGAGAAGATAGAGAAACTAGCAGGCACTCTAAAGTTTCCCTTGAAGAAACTCTTTGTCGTGGATGGTTCTACAAGGTCAAGTCATAGTAATGTGAGTTTTCAGTCTCTGCAATGTTCTCTAACATTGTCCTAACTGCAGTTCTGTTACAAGCAAAGGCAGTTTGTACTTGATGATCAATGTGTATTTTTTTCTTGATTTATAGTATTTTTCCATAAAACTTGTATATTGAAAACGGGGTCGGCAATTTAACCAAGCTGTTATAAAATTTTGCTTGGTTTGCTATAATGTTAAGTTAACACAAGATCCCAACTTAAACTCCTGAACGATTAAGTTTTCAATTGTTCGTAAGTTCAAATTGCAAAATTTTCTTCCTGCTTGTTTAAGCTGAACAATGATTGTATAGATAAAATATGATTTTTCATACTAATTAGGTTGACTAATTTTTCCAAAAAAAAAAAAAAAAAAAAAAAAAAATTTCATACTAATTAGGTTGACTAATTTTTCCAAAAAAAAAAAAAAAAAAGAAAAGAAATCTTGTGTGTAAACTTTCACTCGAGCATCTAGGACTCCAAGTCATTACCGGAAGCTTGATCTGCTATTAAAAATCATGAAACATTTTGCTTTATGGTTATTTTTTTGGTAAAATTTTGGAAACCTCACATCTGTAGAGATATGGGACCAGATCTTTTGTTTATAAAGCATAAGAAAGATTACAATGTTTTTAGGATAAAAGGGTGGGCTGTTGCCTATGGGGGTTGGGTGGGTTCTACATGTTTCGGTGGATAAATCTGCAATTAAGAAAATGTACTTGGAACAAGTTCCCAAATAAGATTTGTATGAGTACTAAAAGAGTTGCTATGTAGACGTGTAGATGGTGTCTTAGGCCTTATCTAGGATTTAAGAAGACTTCACCAACGAAATTATTTTGAGTTAGATTTAAGAAGCTTCAACGAGGAAATTATAATGAGTTGGATTTAAGAAAACTTCACTGAGAAAATTTCAATGAGTTCAATAGCAATAGCAATACACAGGCCCCTACATTGCATATAGATTGCTATTCTTGAACAACTTATTGCAAAGAAACTTAAGATACTCAAACAGAGCATCTTTCATTGCAGTTAAAATTAAAAATAAAATAAAATATCCCTCCTCTTTCTCCCTCCCTCCCCCCCTCTCTCTAAAATAGCATAGTAGTACGTCTCGTGAGTAAAAGATTCTTGCTCCTTACTATAATTGACCTACCTTAAGATGCTATAAATATGCTCCCTCCATCTCCTTTGTGCTCATCTCAACGAATCAATGTCCAAGATCCCCCCAAAGTTCTCTACTTATTTTTCATTTATTTTCTTTCTTTTTTGTTACTAAGAGGAAAAAGATGTGCTCGCTTAAAATCTCTATTTTTTAATTTTCTTATATGCATTTTAGTCCCTAGTGAAGTAGTCTATTATTTTTTCCCTTGAGTTAGAAGTGTAATTCCTCTGGTAATGAATATAGATTTATCGGGATTGGGTGACACCAGGAAATGGATTTAGGAAATATATTCATGTTGTCTTCTTGAAGAAACCAGTAATTTGGGACTCTAGAGGAGGATCTAGGAGCAAAAACATTAACGCTCTGATTAATTTTCTAGATTTGGATTTGGGATTAGGTTTTTTTAGCTAGGATTACGGTTAGGATTTGCGTGGAGGGAGGTCTTCGTTAGAATTAGTATTAAAATATAACCCTCAACCCTCTCCATAACTTTAGAGTTTTGGTGTAATGACTAGCGGGACTTTGAGATGATATCAGAGCAACCCAGGTTTTAATCTCATAAGCCACGAATTTAACGCGGATATTTAAAAATATTAACATCGCTGTGAGAGTTCACGTTTTGGCCCATAAAATGAGTGCTCAATCTGCAAGTGCGTGTTAGAATATAAAATGGTAACTCTCAGCCCTCACTACAACTTCAGAGTTTTGGTGTAATCGTTATTGATTTTGAGATGGAGTTTATTTTTTAAAATTTTCTTATTTTTTGTAGAGGTTTTTTTGAGATCTAGAAAATAGGAATTCTAAAGTTTGTTGTCGAAGCCGTCGAGGAGAGCATGAAGCCCATGCCAAATGTTAGACCCTAGAGGGGGTGATTAGAGTCTTATGCTAATCTAATTCGATTAAATGCTAATAAAAATTAATTAACAAGTTATCCTAGCAAGTATAAAATATAACTATATAAGCTAGGATAAGCAATATGAACAATGAGATATATCCTATATGATGAATATATATATGCTAGGATATATAAACTAACACAAGATGATATATCCTATACAATATGATATATGTATATGCAAGGATATAAAACTAACACAAGGGGTAAACAATATGAACTAGATAGTGGATCATATAAAAAATGAGCTAATGACAAAGGCGACAAGAAATATAAACACAAGTATAAATAAACGCCAAAGCACACTCAAACACAAGATATGATCACGGAGTTCGGACCTTCCGTCCTACGTCTCCGCTCCCCGCTCCCGGGGAGAAATCCACTATCACAATCGGGTTTTCTACGCTCACCCGAATAACGTTTACAACCACACTATGTCGGTTTTCAACGCTCACCGAACAACGTTCACTCCTCACACTCGGTTTTTTAGTTCACCGAAAACTTCACAACACACTCGGTTTCTAGCTCACCGAAAACCTTACAACACTCACAATGTAACAAATATAAATTTGTTCTCTACAATAGATGAGAACTCAATTAAGCACAACTCAATGTTACAATCTCTCACAACCCTATTATACTATATATGCAAATACAATAAGTTCAAGTGGGTGTGTGTAACAATGAGATATAAATAAAAACTTAACTCAATAAGAACTAGCAATAATATTAATATGAAATACAATAGTAGAAATGCTAGGAAATAGAGTTAAGGAAACTTATCTAAAAACACAAAGAGAGGATGAAAGGATATTGAAGATGAATTCCTCAACAGATGATGCAAACTCCTCTTTGTAACAGCAAACCCCAAAAACAAACTAAACAAACTTAAACTTGTTTAAAACTTGTCAAAACATTCTCTTAGGTGATTAAGAACTGAGATCAATGGGGTATTTATAGCCTCCAAGAACCTCAGCCAAAAACCCCAAACCAAATAACAGAAACAGCCTCAGCAACAGTAACAAAAATAGCCGTTGGAAACGGACCTGACTGAGCGGCGGTCGACCGACGAAATTTTCGGTCGACCGACGAAATCATTCGGTCGACCGACGAAATTTTCGGTCGATCGCGATCCAGATCGAAAACGAGAAAAACAAACAGAGACTTCATCGGTCGACTGGTGCGGTCGACCGACAGAAAAATCAAGCTCTCGGTCGACCGCATCGGTCGACCGACAAACTCTCTGCTGCTCACTGACTAAATAACATAGGTCCGGTCGACCGGTGCGGTCCACCGAGAACTGATATATGAAAATCTGATTTTGAAAACTGTTTTTTTGATTTTAAAACCCTATTTAAAAATATCAAATAAATTCTAAAAAATGTAAAATTTTGGGGAATGATTGTAGACATGATAATAAACATGCTACAACGACTGGTTTCCAAAAAGGACTTCCCAAATGAAAAATATCATCATTTTATAAAATAGTCCAAAACATGAAAATATGAGATACTTAAATTTTGATGTTTTGACATAAACCAACTTTTGAAACTTTGTGAAATATTTTTATAGACTTAGTAAAACATGTATAAACTGATATTAAAGTCTATAAACTAATAAGATAATATTTTCACAAAATTACATATTCTATGCAATAAAGTACTAAAACACAATAGAGTATGAAATATGTCATATCATAAAGACCAAAACACATGTATGTATATATAACTATATATGCATAGAAACCAAAAACTTTTGTATATATATATAACTATATATATATACGAAGAAACCAATAAGTGTGTGTGTATACGATATTGAGCTTAGAGTATCTAACACACATAATATAACACCTAAACTAAAGTTACCTAAGCAATGATCTTGATCTTCAATAAGCTTGACTTGGTATACTCTGCGGATGAAGCTTGAACTTGGATCTTCAACTTGAATTGCATAGGCTTCAACCACTATTCCGCCAATCTCCATTGGATATCATCGTTGAAGCTCTATTCCATCCATCCTCCAACTACGTTGTTTGCCTATAATAAATAAGAAAACACAAATACTAGACAAACAACATTAGTGGTAAATTTTTTATTAAACATCATCAAAACAAGAAGGCAAACACCAAACCCCCTCGATGAACTCAAATTAATAAAGTGAGGAGTTTTATAGGATCAATGAAGCTCTGATACCATATAGAGAAAATAGAAATGGCAAAGATATTATTGGTATTTAGTTCTAGTAGATATTGTGAGATGCGATTTGATATGATTTTTCTCATAACTGTTTTGTAATATCCTTCTAATCTCTATTTAAAAGAGGGTTTTGGTGTATCATTAGACTTTGAGATGGTTGGTATCTGAGAAATCTAGGTGCAGATCCACTGGCCAAGAATTTAAAGCAGGTTTTCTAAAAATTAGCATATCTAAATGAGTCTAAGTTTTAGCCTATAAAAAAAGACGCTTAACTTGCTGGGCATGTTAGAATTATAAACCTATAATTCTCAATCCTTAACACAACTTTGACGTTTTGGTGTAATGGTTAGAGGGACTTTAGTACTCTCAATTGATATGAGATTAACAAGCTACTATTACGACCATAGTGCCGGTGGTTCAGTAATGTGATGCTGACGACAACAACAATGATATGAGACATCTTAAAAGAGACATGCAAGAGGAAGGAGGAATATTCTAGTTAAATATTGGAATATTGCTGTTTAATATAGTGGGACATATGAACATATAATATGATATAATTTACTTTATTGCTATCCTTGGTATTTGATAACATATTTATTTATATTTGGTAGTGCATATACCATCTTATTTCATACCTAATATTTAGACTTTCTTAGGATTTCTCATCATATGTATAAATTAATGTATTGTATCTATGAATCATCAATGAAGAGTGATTTCTTTTCTTCTTAATAATTCCTTCAAAATTTTGCATGTGCTTGCACATGATAAAAAATTATTTATTATATCACTACAGTTGGTTGAATTAATAAAAGTCGTGGTTTGATAAGAGGCAATGAACACAAGTAAAATTGTTTAGTAGAAAGTTTTCGGAAATGAAGTGGTAGAGGTGGAGTGAGGAGAGAGAAGGGAGAAGAGAAAAATGAAGCACAAAAGTAAAGTGAGAAGAATTCTTAAATTAAGAAGACGCAAGATGAGACATAAAACAAACTAAGAAAAAAAAAATCACATCTCTTCATTCCAATGTAATTATAATTTGGAAAAAGTGTTACAATTTTGTTACAACAACTATGATAAACTTTTTAGATGGAACAACATTTTTATTTAAAATTTAACAACAATAAAATTTAAAATCTAATTTCGTCATATTATTTCAAAAATCACTTGTTGAGAAGATTAACTCGTATATTTCGAGAAGGTGAACTTGAACATTTCAAACGAATAGTACATATCAAGATAACATAATTCTATGAACCCTGCAAAAAATAACTATTGACTAAATTTATACCATTTACTTTGGCAAGACATAACCTTTATACATGTTTACATAAAATCCTTGCTAAAGTGTTATTATACACTGACGCTTTTCTAATATTAAATTTGAAAAACATTAGCCTTCACAAGCTTTTGCTTTCCAACCTCCCAACTGTTGCTTAGTCTTCAACAACTAGAAGAAGGCTAACATTTGCCTCTTTTTAGTCCTGCTCCCTATTGCTCAACTTGTGAGTTTCTTCAACAATCTCAGGATTTTTTAAGCTTCTTCCAGAATTCTTAGCCTTGATATATACCTAAACATTAATCCTTCTTTTTTTTAACCAAGGAATATGGAACTAAAGGAGCTGGTCTTGAGATATATGGCTCATTCCCATATATATCACAATGAAACTTCAATGCATATAGTTGAAAATAAGAAATATACTAATCAAGAAGTTAGAAACCCATAGTCATGTATTAAGGTGTATTCCATGGATTAGGAGAATACAAGATGGAAAGTAATTACCACATAAAGTCAATGGATCATGCATTTGAGCATCTAGAACTCTAAGTCATGATCGAAAGCTTGATCTGCTATTTAAAATCACAAATATTTTGCTTAATAGTATATATATTTTTAATTTGGAAACCTCGTATGCCTCTAAATCTAGGACCAGATCTTTATTTTATGTTGCACAAGAAAGATTACAAATTTTTTAGGACAAAAGGGTGGGTTGTGGCCTGTGAGGGGTTATGTGGGTTCTGCATGTTTGGAAGCAGAAATTTGCAATAATTACTTTAAGAAAAAGTACTTGGAATGAGTTCCCAATAAGATTTCTAGGAGTACTTATAGAGTTATGATATACTATTATTTTATGTAGACATGTAGATGGTGTCTCTGATCTTAATCTAGGATTTAAGAAGACTTCACTGAGAAAATTATTCTCAGCTGGATTTAGACTTCAATGAGGAAGTTATAATAGAGTTAGATTTAAGAAAACTTTCACTTAGGAAATTATAATAAGTTGGATTTAAGAAGACTTTACTGAAAAAATTATAATGAGTTGCTTAATTGGAGTAACACACAAGGCCTGTGCATCGCACATTGATTTGCTATTCTTGAATAACTTGTTGAAGAGGAATCTTAAGATACTCAAGCAAAGCATCTTTCATTGCAGCTAAATTTAAAATTGAAATAAAATCTCTCTCCTCCCTCTCCCTCCTTCACTCCCCTCCTCTCTCCCCTCTCCCTTCTCCCCACTCTCTCTAAAATAGCTGGATAGTACGTCTTTTTGTTGCAACGAGGAAAGAGATGTGCCTACCTAAAACCTCTATTTTTTTATTTTCTATATGCATGCTTTTAATCCCTAGTGAATTAGTCTGTGTAGTATTTTTTTCCTGATTTATAGGTGTAGTAACTGTAGTTCCTCTTGTAATGAATATAGATTTGTTTCTTCTAGAGCTTGTATATATTAGGGATTATGTGACATCAGGAAATAGATTTAGGAAATATATTCGGGATGTCTTCCTGAAGAAAGCAATAGGACTCTGGAGGAGGAGCATCTAGGATCAGCAACATCAGCACTTCAATTTGTTTTTTTTGGCTTTGGATGTGGGATTGGATTTGTTTTCTGCGTAGGATTAGGGTTTGGGTTTGGGTGGAGGGAGGTATGTGTTAGAATTAATATAAAACTATAACCCTCAGCTCCCACAATCTTTGGAGTTTTGATGCAATGGTTAGAGGGACTTTAAGATGGTTAGATGTCTCTCTCTTTTATAATGGTTAGAGGGACTTTGAGATGGTTAGAAGTCTCTCTCTCTCTCTCAAGGATTTAGAAGTCAATTTGGCTTCGTAGAACAGGAGCATTGATTAATTATTTTGGTAGCTAATGTGGAATTATAAAAAAGGTAATGCACTAGGATTGATACTAATCCACAAATTTTTCCATGGAAAAGCTTGGAAAGACGGCAGCTTATGGACTTGTAGGAAGTTAAATTAGGTGGATCCTTGAATGATAAGAAAAGGGCAAACTTGACTGATTCATTGACAAAGTAGACCTATTTTATTTGCTTGTTCGTATTGTTGCGAAGTAGAAGCACAGATATTCCTTCTGTTGCCAATAAAGTAAAATCTTTTATTTTGCTGTTCTTTTGGGCAGAAAAGAAAACTGTATGACCTACGGACTTTGTAAAATGTAAAACTTTTGTTGATTACTGACAAGCTGCAATTGCTGGTTTTGGAGAAAGAATAACATCACGTTGCCTCTTTTAATTGGTTGTTTGCATCGTACATGTCATGATGTCATGTGTTAGGGTGCACTAGTGCCATTTTCATCTATGGTTTTGTTGTAGGGTGCACTAGTGCCATTTTCATCTATGGTTTTGTTGGATTCCTTTCTTCTGAACTTGCTCCCATATTGTCGTCATGTTTCTCTTGTATCATGATGCTTTCTTGAACCTATTTCTTGTGATTTGAGGCTCTATTTTCTGCACCTTTTCCTTTCTCATATTGCTTAAAGTTGCTAATATTATGTTGATTTTATATTGGCAGGCATATATGTATGGTTTTTTCAACAACAAGCGCATCGTTCTTTATGATACTTTAATTCAGCAGGTATTCTCAAAATTTTTATTCATTTGCAGTCTTTATTTATTTGGATAATAAAACATTTCTTGTATGTAATGTTGGTGTGAGTGTGACAAACATGAGATGATTTAGCCATTGACATCTTCCGGATGCCTTTTGGCTGTAAAATATTCAAGCAGGAAAATACCATCTAAAAGACCATACATTATCATTATTTTATAATTTATTGGAAATTAGGACAAGCCTATGAGTCCATCCCAATCCTTCCCCCAATAAATAAATAAATAAAGTAATTTATTAATTAAAATAAAATAAAATAAAATAATGAAAACACACACACCCACACACGCACGGAGGCCCAGAGTCCTCACGGAAATAGGGCAAGGATAGGGGTTTTAATTAGGGGCCCATATAGAAGATCTACAGAGGCCAGGTTTGGGTTCTGTCATAGGCCCAGTCCTAGCCTAACCCTGCTCTGCTGAAGGCCTGCTTATGTCAACCCCATCATCCCAATATGCAACCTGCCTTTTTCTTTCTTCGTTTCATTATGGTTTTCCTGTTAAAATTAGTAGCCTATTCAATTGTGTCGTAATTCCCAACCCATGCTACCCAACTACCAGTCCTTAGTTTCCGAAATCTTTACCACCTCCATTAACAGATACTAGCCAAATGTAGCCAAGTTCCCAGGCATGTCACCTTGGATTCCTCTCTGTCAACTGGTTTGCCCCTTCACAGCTGTCCACTTTTTTTGCTGACCCTATGGGCTCTATCTACATACATGTGTTATAAACCCAAAAGCTGTTTTATTTTGCATTTGCAAATTCTAGGCAATGAGAATTGTCATCTTAGACATCTATTTCCTTAAATTAACAGAATCAACTTTAACTCTTTCATTAAAATTTATAGAAAACATTGAAAAGTGGCAAAACAATGTTAAAATTAATTTCCTATCTGTTATTTCTTGCTCTAAACATACCAATTGATCACTCAGTTGATTCTTTTTGCTTGTTCTACACGTCATTCAGAACTTGTCATGTTTTGGTAACATGACATGCTGAACCTTAACTTATAAGGAACATTTTGCAGTGCAAAAATGAGGATGAAGTCGTTGCAGTAATCGCCCATGAGCTTGGACATTGGAAATTGAACCATACAATGTATTCGTTCATTGCTGTCCAGGTATACCCTCCTCACATAAACAGATGCTTTTCAACCCCACTATTTTTTTTGTTTGTACCATTCTTCTGAAAGTTATAAAAAGTTCTGTGCACTATTACAGCTTTACGCGATGAACATCTCTCATAATGTGCCCAAGGGTCTGTCTACCTTTTGTCATTTGAAGAATAATAATTCTTTGATTGATTGAGTGAATATAGAGGGGATAGCTAACATGTTACAATGTACTTTACAACAGCCGGTCTAAAAATGAATTAGCAGGGTTCAAGGTACATCCTACCCGCTATGCAATAGTATGGAGCATGCTGGGCATATACTTATTGTTGGGTCTAGCCTTCTAGGTTTATCTATTCAAGTTGAAGAATTTGTGGTCTTTGTGAGAAGAAGAATTATGGAAAAAATCAGAAGTCCCAAAGAGTAGTAGGTTATGGACCTCTTTATCCAAATCATTTGGAGATTTGAGATTCAAGTCTTGAAATATATGGTTGCGATTCCATCATTGATATGCCAATTTTGTAGAACATATAATTCGTGTGTTATCAATGAGCAAGGTGCAATGCTATGCGTGCGCAGAGTGAAGCAAGGCGCACACCACACACATAATTTTCAAGATGGTTATCAAGCACAAAAGAGCATATCTTCACATGAAGTATATCGAGATAAACAATATCTACTATGAAATCACAAAATAAGGTCTTAATTTCTTATGCTAACACATCCAACATAGAGCAAAGTTCATAAGTTTTCAAATCAAGAGTCAAATCAAGACTAATATTGAAGCAAACTTATGATCCTCAATTAGGCTACTAGAAAGGCTTAACGGTTTTATTTTGCTAATTTGTGTATGAGTCATCGGGTATAAAGGTACGATTGAAATGTTAAAGAACAAAACTGTATGTGGTCTATGCCTAGGATGTGCCCTACACAAAGCACAGGTCACTTGCGGCTTGCGAGGCGCAAAAGGTGCTGTTGCATCAGATGCAGGGCGCTTCGCCTTTGCCCCGCATCACAGAGCGCATGAGGCGTGGTGATGCGCACGCCTTTGAAAACACTAATAATTCCTTCTTGCGCTCGATCAGTGTTATCATTGCACTATTTTAGATAATTTAAAGCATTAAACTAGACTTCTGTATGTTATGCAATCTTATAATATCTGCACTTGCAATATGTGTTGTGATAATGACTTGAAATCCAGGGGTCTTGTTCATTTATTTGATTTGGTGAAAGTTATTACACTTTTACTTACATCCGTGTTTAGTTAACAAATCAGCAAGGTACACTGGTATAGATTTTCTAGATGCTAGACTGAACTTTCTTCAGGTTGCTGAGACATTTTGGCACCCGATACTTATGACGTGTTAGGCCTTTTAAGTTGAGAACATAATTCAAAGTAATAGTGAAAATCTTCGACCCAAAGAAGATTCGAGAGTATGTTCAACCCCTTGCAAAGTCCAGAGTGGTTCACGTTTCCAAGAACGAGAAAGATAAAGAAAGGTAATTTGCACAAACGAATCCAGATGATAATTTTGATTGACTGCATAAGTGGATCGAAGGTGGTTCTCATGTACCGTCTGTTTCATTGCACTTAAGTCCCTTCCATGCAAAAATAATCTAGGTTATAAAGCTATATATATCATCTTAAGCATGTTGCTTTTTCCTGTATTGCATATATGGTATTTTCTCAAGGTCCTTCGCTTAATGAATTCCAATTTGCTGATAAGTTATTTAAATATAGTGTGTGAATTCTCATTTAGCTCCAAATCGACTGTCATTGGAGTAATTCTTTTATCTTAGAGCATGGGTCTGACATGTTTAAGCAGATTCTCACACTTCTGCAATTTGGAGGCTACACCCTTGTAAGAAATTCAAAGGATCTCTTTCAGAGTTATGGCTTTGATACGCAACCTGTGCTTATTGGCCTCATCATCTTTCAGGTACTTGTTTGATGTAATATCATAGCTTAATGGGCAAAACTTCTACTGCTCTTCTAATCCGATGGTGAAATATTGCATATAGGATATAAGCACCTGTTTCTGCACTCATATAAGTAAATTAAATCATCAGTTAAGAAATAGGAAAATAATTGCATATGTTAACATAAAATGTAGAGTGCACATCTAATTTCCTTATTCACGACTCGCAGCATACTGTAATACCTCTCCAGCACCTTGTGAGCTTTGGCCTTAATCTTGTAAGCCGGGCATTTGAGTTTCAGGTAATATTTAATAGATTGGGGTGTTATTCTCAGCTAGTACCTAAATTTTTTTTTGTTCATTTGTTAATTGGTACGGAACTGTCATATCTCATGTTCTGCAGGCTGATGCTTTTGCAAAGAAACTTGGTTATACCAAAGAACTTCGTGCAGGCCTTGTGAAGCTTCAGGTGACATTGCAGTTTTATATTCGTAACAGATGCATACCTCAACATATGGAAATTCCTAGCCATCACAAATTTATTCTTATTATTATTTTCATCAGATTCCGTTAGTTAGAATACTTATGTTTGACAACCATATGTTATGTAGTATTGAATGGTATACGCAGCCCAGTTACAGGGCATCTACCTTGTGATCTTTGTGGATGTGAATTTGCCATTTGGTAAACCTTGGCTTTTGTTTGTTCTTTCTTTATTGGGGTGCACTTAAAAGAACCAACATGATTTCTTATCTCCATGTGGGAGGCAACACAATACATCACTCTGGTCATTGTCATATTACCTGCACCTTTATACTCAATTTTCAAGATTATTGTGTTAACTGCTTCCTTCTGCTAACTTAATGGAAAACAATACTTGTGAGTAGACTTGGATAGGGCCCATGTAGAGTGTGCAGGCCTTCCATCTTGATCCGAACTCAGACTACTTTTGAAAGGGAAACCCACTGATCCAGTTTTGGACATTTCATAGGACTAAGCCAAAGCCGAATAATTAGATCTGCAGTGAGAGTCAAACAAAACACATTTCAGTGCACTGGCATCTGCGTTATTCGCTCTTTCATTGATTCATTTTTGGTTGCATTGTTGCAGTCCCATAGCTATGTCCATTACTTCATGCATTGCTCCACCCCTCAAATTTTTGGTCATTGGTAGTTTAAACTGTTACTGCTCTTCCTGATATATCATAGCATTTATTTCGTGGATGGGATGGTTTGTCTTTGAGTTAATAAATTTTGGCTACATACATGTCGATAGATTTCCATATGTTGATTTTTGTTGATTGAAAGATTCATTATTATTTGCAGGAAGAGAACTTGTCTTCTATGAATACGGATCCATTGTATTCGGCATACCATTACTCACACCCTCCATTGGTGGAAAGACTGGCTGCTTTAGATGATACCGAAAGTAAGAAAGAAGAGTAATGTAACACCATTACCCACTGGAGTGCAATGCATATCTGTGCCATTCAGCTTGAAGTGCTCCAAAGAAAAGAGCTGCAAATTAAAGGGAGTACTTGCATGATATTTGAGGATATCAGAAAGAGAAAAAAAATGCAGTTGCATAATGTTTCAGACGGTCTTTTGAAATCATTTCATAGAACAATGCAAATACCAAATTAGGATTCTGTATACTGGAAGCACAGAAATTTATTACATGTTTGGTTTAATATCGACGCTGAAGATTTTGTTAATCATGTATTAATGCAAAAAAATCGAGAAGCCTATGAAGGTAAAATTGGAATGAACTTTTATCTGTTTTGAGGAAATAGAGGTGTTTCTGGGCTAATCTTGTGGATTAATATTCGGTAAAATGAAAATAAAACATGTTGGTATGAGAACAGGCTGCAAAATATTGTTGCAAGGAACAGTGAGTCGTTTTAATAAGATTATAAGAGTTGCAATATTTTTCACCAGTGCGATGCGGGGGGCTTGATATTAAGATGTTATTATTTAACTTGATATAGAGATGTTATTATATTGATGAGTTTTAAATATGGTTTAGCTGTAATAATAAAATAGAAATAATAAAGAATGCATAAGAAAGTCCCAATGCCTCTGAAAATGTCGTAAAGTCATTTTTTCTAGGAAAAATTGCTTCCAGGCCCCAAAATTTTAAAAACAATGTGTACCAGTTTAGTTATGTGCTCCAACCCCCAAAATTTGAGAAAAATATGCTCCGGCTCATGATTAGGCCCATTTTATATGTTTTTTACCCAAAAACCTAAGTTTACCCCTCCCCAAAATCACTGTCATCTCCCCAAAACTCAACTTCTTCTTCCTCCTCTGTCATCATCTCAAAATCCAAACACCCTTAACTGTCGACGATCCCCTCTACTGTGCCGTCCTCTTCATCTCGCCCTCTCCCTCAACCGCGGCCAGTGGCACTCCATCGCCGACAAAGTCGTTGCCGCCCGCTCCCTCAACCGTCTCTTGATCCCCAACGAGCACCTCGTCTGTTGGCCTTCTTGTTTTGATGATGTTTAACAAACAATTTACCACTAACGTTGTTTGTCTAGTATTTGTATTTTCTTATTTATTATAGACAAACAACGTAGCTGGAGGATGGATGGAATAGAGCTTCAACGATCATATCCAATGGAGGTTAGCGGAATGTCGGTGAAGCCTTGCTATTCAAAGTTCAAGATCCAAGTTCAAGCTTCATCCGCGAGATTACCAAGTCAAGCTTATTGAAGATCAAGATCATTGCTTGGGTAATTTAGTTTAGGAATTTATATTATGTGTGTTAGTACTTTAAGCTCAATCATATACACACATACACGTTTTGGTTTTTGTATATATATAGTTATATATATACATATATGTTTTGGTTTGATAGTTTTCAAGTTTTACTATGAAACAAATGAATAGAATTGGAAAATACTATTTTGTTTCATGTTCACATGTTCGTGCATGTTTTACAAAACTGATGAGTTTTCGCAAATGGGAAGTGATATTTGAAAAATTCTATCTCTGACATGTTTATCTACATGTTTAGAAACTTTTCTCCAGTTTTTACTATTTTTGGAGTTGATTTGCTGTGCCAATTGATTTTACAAAATCGTATATGTTAACAGTTTTTCAGAAACTGTAAATTTGTGTTCAAATATTTATTTCTCTCAACTGGGAAAATATTTTTCAGAAATTCTTTCTCTGACATGTTATTCTACATGTCTAGAACATTCCCACAAAATTTAATAATTTTGGGAGTTCATTTACTATTTTAAATTAATTTTACAAAACAGCTACGGACTGCTACAGTAACTCCGGTCGACCGGACCGGTCGACCGGAAATGTCTCTGGAACTTTTTCAGGTTTGTACAGTGCGAGCGGTCGACCGAAAAAAAAGGTCGGTCGACCGCCCAGCTCTCAGAATGCCCATAACGGTTATTTTTTTGTATCCGTTGGAGGGGTTTTTGGTCTTTTGGTTCGGGCTTTTGTTTGAGGTATTGGGAGGCTATAAATACCCCCTTATACCTTAGTTTTAAGAAATCTAAGAGAATGTTTTAGAAAAAGTTTAACAATGGTTTAAACTTGTTTAAGTGTTGTTTAAGTTTGTTTAAGAAGCTTTTAAGCATTTGAGTGTTTGGGTTTGTGAAATTAACTTCACAAGAGCTTGAGGAGTTCTTCTATTGGTGCTTGAGCATTCAACCTTTCCTCCTTCAATCTCTTGATCTACTTGAGAAGTCTTCTAAACTCTATTTCTAGCTCTTTTTATATATTTGATTATCATTGTTATTAAGCTAGAATTATATTGAGTTTAGTTTTGATTTATTTAATCTCATTATTACATACACCCACATTGAGCTTTTAGTATTTACATACATAGTATAGTTGGGTGGTGAGAGATTGTAACTTTGAGTTGTGCTTATTTGAGTTCTCATCTATTGTAGAGAACAAATTTATATTTGTTACATTGAGTGTGTTGTGAAGTTTTCGGTGAACTAGAAAACCGTATTGTAAGGGTGGAGTGTAGCCACATTGTGAGAGAGTGTGTGGAGATCTCCTCGAGGTGAGGAGCGGAGACGTAGGTCGTGGGGACCGAACTCCGTGAGAGAAATTGTGAGGTGTAAACATTATTCGGGTGAGTGTAGAAAACCCGGTTGTGATAGTGTAATTCTCCCCGGGAGTGGGGAGCGGAGACGTAGGACGGAAGGTCCGAACTCCGTGATCATATCGTGTGTTTGAGTTTGTCATTGGCGTTCTTTTACATTCATGCTTATTGTTTATATCGCATTTGTCATTTGCTCTTAGTTCATATTATCCACTATCTTGTTTATCTTGTTTATGTTTATATCACCCTTAGTTTCATATTCTTGTATATAACTCATAGTATATCTTATTACTAGGATATATCCCTTGTTCATATTGCTTATCCTAGCTCACATATATTATTGTATGTCATACTTTCTAGGATAACTTGTTAATAAGTTTTAATTGGCATAAAATCAGATTAGATTAGCATAAGACCCTAATCACCCTCCTCTAGGGTCTAACAATTGGTATCAGAGCTTGGTGCTATTTGATTTAAGGTCTAATCGCCTTGAGTTAAAGATCCAAGTTATCTTTTTATGCTAATCTTGTTTTGATTGCATTTATATCTTGCTTGCATATTTTTTACAAATTATAGATATGAATGATGCATCTTGTTTAGGCTATGATTTTAGTATTGCTCCTAAATTCAATGTTTTCCCCTATGCTCAATGGTGCTTTAGATTCAAAATATTTGTTCAATCTAAAAATATCGATTTATGGGAAATCATTGATTGTGCTTATATTGTGCCCACGTTGGAGAAATCCAAGTGGAGCAAACATGATAAAAAGATGTTTATTATGAACAAGCTTATGTTAGAATTTTTATTAAATGCATTTGATTCATTTATGTCTAACAAGCTTGATTCTTTTGATAGTGCTTACACCTTATGGAAATTTATTGAAGCACATCAAGGAGACTTGGAGGCGATCCGACAAGCTTTGGAGGATCCGGCTTCAAGTTCATGCAGAGCTTCATGCACACGGCCACTAGGCGATAGCCCTAGTGAGGTTTGCGAGTTTGAAACCACTAATGATTTATCTAGTGATGAACTTGCTTGTGCTAGTGAAAAATTATTGCATGCCTATAACTTATTGCATAAAAATTTTATTGATTTAAAAAGCAAGCATGAGGATTTAAAATCCGATCATGAGTTGTTAGCATCTAAGTTTGATACTATTTCTAATGAAAATATGATCCTTAAAGAAAACAATGAAAAATTAAAATTGGATCATGATTCTTTGCTTTCAAACTTTGCTAAGTTAACTCATGAAAGAGATAATGTCATGCTAGAAGTAGTAGCTATTAGAAATGATTTTGATAACCATACATGCTCTACTTCTATTATCAATGATGTTGTGCATAATGATGATTTGAATCTTGTTAAGGAACACATATCATGCTTAGATTCAACTTTAAAAACATGCATTGATAACCATAAGAAACTTATGGACAAGTGTGCTAAATCTAGTGCTACAAAATCACCTACACACTATGCACACTTGTATAGCAAAGTTTACAAGTGCTCCATTTGTGGTCGTAAAGGCCATTTAGCTAAATTTTGCTATGATGCACAAAAACATAAGAATATTAATCCTACTTGTGCATCTCATCAAGTTTCTTCATCACATGTACACACACATGCACCTATTTCTCATCATAAGCATGCTAATGTGTATAAATGTGATCTATGTGGTCGGTTTGGCCATTTGGCAAAGTTTTGCTTTGACATGAAAAAGAATTCTAGATTGCCAAATGTTTTTCATAGACCACATGTTTTTAAATGTCATGTTTGTGGTAGGTTTGGACATCTTGCTAAATTTTGTTTTGATATACAAAAAGCTTCTAAATTGCAATATGTTCCAAATAGACCATTGTTTAAGAATGTTTCTCATTTGCAAAATAATTTTAAAAGAAAATCTTTATTTGCAAATGATTCCCGTGCACGAGCTAATGGTCCACAAAAACAAATGGATCTCTTTCATTGCACAAATTGCAATCGGAAGGGTCATTTGAATGAATATTGTTTTGACCATGTTAGTGCACCATATGCGCCTAAGAGGGTTCATAACCCTAGGGCTTTGAGCTTAAAAGATAGGGGTCATGTCCCTAAATCTCTTGGTACCAAGAATTCTTGGGTACCAAAACAAATTTGATTTTTAAACCAAGAATTTTAATGTTCTTACTTTTCCTTTTCTTGGTTTTGAAAATTATGTGATAGAACTAAACATCAAAACTGTCAGAACACTACTACAGTGAGAGAAGCCATTTACAGGTTTCATTCGGCAGTGAACTGTGGAGTGATATGCTCCAGGTATCAATTTTGATGATCTTGATCAGCTGCTCAATGCTTCTGGATCCCCCTTTGAAGATTCTAGCATTTCTCTCTCTCCAAATGTTATAGATTGTAGTGGATAGTGCCAGTCTCTTAATTCTTTGTTTGTAGCCTTTCCCCCTCAACCTGAAAGTATACCAATTCAAGAGAATTTGCCAGTCTGTTGATCTCCAGTTGAACTTAAGCCATTCCATAATGCCATTCCACACACAATTGGAGAAGCTACAGTCAAAAAATAGATGGGTTCTGTTCTCAACTCCTGCACCTTCACACAAGCAGCACCTGGTTTGATTGAATGATCCCCCTCCTGAGTAATCTATCCTATGTAAGAAGTTTATCTTGAACAACCAGCCACATAATGAAAGAATGTTTGGGATAGTTTAACTTTTCCCAAACAACATCATGCCAAACCACCTTAGAA